CAGGAAGGAGAGAGGGAGGAAGAGCAAGAGAGAAACATTGATGTGAGAGAGACACATCGAGTGGCTGCCACCCACATGACCCCAACCGGGGCCAGGGACAAACTGCAACCAAGGTACATACCCTTAGCGAGAACCGAACCCGGGACTCTCCGGTCCATGGGCCGACACTCTAACTGCTTAGCCAAACCGACCAGGGAACTAGCACCTCTTTATTGCAGACATTTCAGGCACAGGTACATGGAAAAAGCTGTATTGCAGATTTTAACAATTTTTAAAAAAATCCTCACCCAAGGATATTTCTCCATTTATTTTCAGACAGAGTGGGAGGGAGAAATATGTAGAGAGAAACATTGATGTGAGAGAGACACATCGATTGGATGCCTCCCACACGATCCCAACCTGGGCTAGGGACCAAACCGCAATCAAGGTACGTGCCCTTGATCAGAATCAAACCTGCGACTCTTTGGTCCAAGGACTGACGCTCTAACCGCTGAGCAAAACTAGCCAGGGCTGTACTGCAGATTTTATATAGGGTGGTTTAAGAGGCAGCAGTCATCTACCTCTCTCCCCAGTCCCCAACCCCCAAATACACAGCAGCCTAGAAATCAGTCCCATTGAAATCTCCTGGATATGCTGTCCTCTCAAACAGCACAACATCCAGCCCGGTGCCCAACATAGCCAGGCAACCTCTAGAAGTCTGAGGATGTCCTTGGCCTCTTACAGGAGGGAAGAGGGTATACAGAAATCAGGCAGCCCAGCCGGTGTGGCTCAGTGGTTGAGCATCGACCTATGCACCAAGAGGTCGCAGGTGCAATTCTCAGTCAGGGCACATGCCCAGATTGTGGGCCCAGTTTCCAGTGGAGGGCATGCAGTAGGCGGCCAATCAATGTTCTCGCTCACTGATATTTCTATCTCTCTAAAGTCAATAAAGAAAAAAATTAAAAAAAAAAAAAGAAAGTCAGGCCTATCTGTGGTGCCCTCACCAATCCTGAAACCAATAACAGGGCACAAGCCCAAGTCTTGGGTTTGATTATAGCGTGTGGTTGCTACCTTACCACCAGGTTACACCACCAGGTCTCAAGTCTAAAGGGCTAGATTTGCTCTGGGCAAAACTTAGGAGCATAAATTGTCCTAATAGCTAAGACTTCCTGGGATTTGAAGACAAGTGCATGCTGAGGGAGGAAATAGAGGCCTAATGATGCCTTGCAGAGAGAGGTCTGAGGGATGAGAAATGCAAAGCACAAATTTCTCAAACTCAGATCCCTCAAACTCAGATTGCCTTTCATAGCTCCGAGTTTACACTCCAACCACCCAGGCCTGGATCTATGGGCATTGGAGGCTGGCTGTTCTGGGCACTTCGCCTTTGAATAATATCTGAAGCAGGTGGTACAAGATCTGAGCTGCCCTATTCTTGGCTTGGTGTTTGTGGACACCCTGGATGTGATCCTGATCCTTCTGGGGATAGAACAGTTTCCTCTCCCTCAAATCTCTGCTCATCCTTGGTTTTGGTAGGCCGTACAGAGGACCTGAACCTGATGGGCCATTTTTGCCAAGGCCTCTCCACGTTCAGTGGGATTCTGGGTCATCTGTCCTGTTACTAGGGCCCTGACTGTACCCAGTGTAGAGGTTACAGGAGGTGTCAGAACTGACCGCAGAGGCTTCAGTGCAAGGGAAGCTGCAGGCCAGACCTGAGCTCTCCCTGTCTGCAGCTCACTTTCCCAAGACCAGGTGGGCCAGGAGGGGAACACTATGTCCCACAAGGCTTCTGAAAAAAGCTAGCTGGGAGTGCTGCTTCGGCAGTATTCTCCTTGCAATAGGTATCGTGAGCTGGGGTAGAGGTATTGCTGAGTTAGAAGAGGGTGAGACATGAGAGAGCCAACGAAGCAGGGTAGTTACTGATGTCCAGCCAACTATTGAGCTAATTAAAGCAATTTAAACTGCTGAGAAATGTTTGTGTGGTTTTATTGTATCATGAGGCATGGACGTATCTGAACAAATCAATATCTGGGTAGTGAGGCAGCTGCTTTCTCCTTCACTTCTTTGGGTTACTAGACCAACTGGTCAGTAGATTGAAAAGAAAAAGACAACCTTTTGCATTACTTAAGTCTTTCCAAGACATTTGCTGGTACAACATAAACTTCTCCTGCCAGATGCAATTAGTCCAGCGTCCAAACATCATGCACGATGCCTAGGTAGCAGCAGTACACTGAGCCCACTCCCACCATAGCCCTGCTCGTGTGTGTGTGTGTGTGTGTGTGTGTGTGTGAGATATCTGGAGCTCTAGAGGAGTGTGAAGAGTATCAGGAAGAGGAGAGAGGAGGAAACAGCATGGCTGGGAGGAGGTCAGAAGTTGTGTAGAGCAAGCCTGAACATGCCATTGGTTGATGTTCTTTTTTTTTTTTTTTTATCCTCACCCGAGGACATTTTTCCATTTTTTGTTCAGGTAGAGTGTGGGAGGGAGAGAGAGAGAGAAACATGGACATGAAAGGGACACATCGAGTGGCTGCCACCCACACGACCAACCAGAGCCAGGGACAAACTGCAACCGAGGTACGTGCCCTTAGCGGGAACTGAACCCGGGACTCTCTGGACCGCAGGCCGACGCTCTAACCGCTGAGCCAAACAGGCCAGGGCAGTTGATGTTCTTTAATAGGAACATTTAGTGGAATCCCATGATGAGGTCTTTTCAGCCTTAAGCTGGCCCACAACCATGCTGATGATGCAGCTGATGATCTGGCATGGGCTGGTGGTACTGCATGGTGATGCCATGCTGGAGTTTCTGGAATGGAAGGCTAGCAAACTTCTCCACAATGGCAGCTTTCCCCTGGAATTGCTGTCCTTCCCACGTAAGGCATGACACGTCAATGTAAATTGCACTAGTTGGGTTCTGATGTTATCAAATAACTAGTAGTCATGTTGAATGAAGGTGGATCCAATCTGCTCCCAAATTAGCTTGTCTCCCATTCTGGAGCGTCACTTGGCCTCGTTGAGACCTTCTTGACAGCTTCTCCGACAGCTCTAAAGAGAGGGCTGCTGGCCACGCCATCTCCTGCCTCTGACTGAGGACAGGCTCCTCGAGGAGCAGAAATGACCTTGATGACCTCTTGCCCACTGAGGTTCAGCCTTCCCTTAACCTTAGGTCTTCAAGGGGCTGGCACAATGGCGGCAGCAGCAGCAGCAGCAACCCAGCGCCATCTACAGAGCTGTTTCTTTTTGGAATTGAATGGGGCATAAACAAATAGATGGTGATTTGTGTAGATTTGAAAAGTCATGGTTTTCATCTTTGTGGTTGCTTTGAGCAGTGGGCCCAATGGAAACTCTTTGTGAGGCATGTTAGAACATTCTCAGCATAACTCCAGGGAGCTTCTGTTCCCCAAATCATGCTGTCCTGTCTTTGGAGTGGGGAAAGTCTCTCTATTCCTCAACAGGCAGACAGATGAAAAGCCTCCAGGTGGGTATGTCTGTTGGGGATAGAGAGAAGAAAATGAAATGAGCTCAGACCCACCAGGTAGGACAGGTAAAGTCAGGGGCAGCCCAACCCATTCAATTCCTCTTCTGCACAGATCCCGACTCAGACCTGGGGTGGTTCACTCACGTTTCCCGCTAACAACCACCGCTTCTGGGTTACTTCTTTTTAAATGATATTTCTGTAAGTAGCAAAACTAATAAAGATATTCCCATTTCAGTAAAAACTACACAAAACAGCATTTGTTTGGCTACACATGTGTATCTAGCTTTCTTGATAGGGTCTCTGAGGTAATTTTGAAGAGAGATTTACTTTCCCAGGAAGCTCAGAAGGATCTAGACATGAGGGCTGGGAGGTTAGATGCCTGGTCCTGGTGTGTGTGTGTGTGTGCGTGCGTGCGTGCGTGTGTATGATGGGAAACTGGTGGAATCCATAGAATTATGGAAATGGTCTGTAGAGGAGAAGAGTCAGGAGAGTAGTGGACTCAGGGGAGAATTCAATTCATCAAACAGTAAGCACCCTTATATGCCTGACCCTGTTCCAGAACTTTGGGGTGTCAGTGAATAAAAAAGATAAAGACCTTGCCTCCAGGAAGCTCACTTTCTAACGTAAAAGACAATTAAGTATAAATATGTCAACTTAATAATAAACGATATGGTATGTTATAATGAATGATAGCTGTGGGGGAAAGGGAGGTCAGGCATGTGTCGTGAGGCTGTGGGCTGCCAGTTTAAAGAGCGGTGCAGCACGCGCCACTGACAATGTGATCTGAGCAACGACTTGAGTCATCCATGTGGAAGTCTTGGGAAGGTTTCAGGCAGAAAGCACAGCCGGTTCAGTCTCTGAGGCCGCAGTGTGCTTGAGAGGAGAGGTTAGGGACGAGGGCAGATAATACTGGGACTTGGTCATGTAAGGACTTGGCTTTTACTCTGAAGAAAAAGAGGTTAAGACACATTTTTATACCAGCTTTCTGGCTTTTCTTCCCAGTGTCTTGTTTGGTGTGAGTGTGAGAGTGTGTGCGTGTGTGTGTCTGTGTGAAGGTCTGGCAAAGGCAGGCACCTGGGCGTGGGCAAAGGCACGTGCAGTTCATAACTGCCCTTCCAATCTTCCTCCCAGTACCCTACTTCCCAGACTGGGGTGTGGCTCCTGCCACTCCCTCAGTTGTTTTTATGACACACACCCCCAGCCCTGGAACTCAGCTCCTCAATCACAGAGCAAATTAGAGGTGAGAGAGAGAGACTCCTGCCTCCACCCCCAGGGGTACTGACTGGCAGCCAATGAAAGCCTCCCAGAGCGCCAGGCAAAATCAGAGGGCAGGAGGGCAGGAGGGCAGGCGGGGTGGGGGTGGGGCATCCAAGTCATATCCAAGGAGACAGATCTCAGATCTTCCTCCCCACCTCCCAACTCCCCACACTCCTAGACACACACACACATACACGCACACACACACACATGCCTGACACAATGGCCGGGTGGGGCTGAGGAACTGGCTTCCTCTGTGGAGATCTCAATCTGGGCCCTCAGTTCCCGCCCCAGAAACACAGGAACAGGCACTCGGAGACCTGGCCCCGCACTCCTTGCTCCAAGGAGCAGGCAGGACAGGCTGAAAATACAAACCGCTTCCAAAAAGATAAAGGTAAATTCAGGGGGGCTACTGCAGAGTTAGGGTGGGAGAAACCTGGGGAGGGGGTCCCTTGGTGAAACAGAAGGCTGGCTCTCACTCAGGGAAACAGGCTGGAAGCTAAAGGGACTGGCAGTCGGGTGAGGTGTGGGAGATGGTCAGACTGCTGAGGAAGAGAGCACACACATCCCTTGGCTGAACAGAGGTGTCCTGTCAGCCCAGCCCTGTGCCATTTTCACCCCATCCTCACCCCACCCCTGTCCAGCTCCGGCCCAGCGATGCAGACAGAACACACACATACAGACTAGCCTGCTGTCCACACTCAGGTGTTAGCCTTTCCCCAGACCCTGTTAACCTCAGAAACCCAGGGCATGGGGTCCATCACATCTTCCAGAGCCCCGGTGTGCGCATGTGGAGTGTGGTGTGGTTGGGGGGGCGTCCGGTTGGGAGGAGGATTTGATTCCTGTTTCCTGCTCCTACTCACTCAGCCCTAGGAGGTGACTGAGAGTGGAGAGGACACAAGGGTGAGTGCTTGGGCCCAATACCTGGGTCCCTGTGAGAGGCTTGTGTGGGGGGTGGGAACCGAAGTAAACAATAAACAAAGGCACCTGAGCAGAGGAGTGGGACCCCCTAGCGGGGCAAAGCTGGGGAGGAGCTGGCCAGCTAGGGAGGCCACTGCCGGGGTCATTTTGATAAGGGGTTTCCTGCCAGGATGCAGAGGCCACTGAGCTGCTACAGCCCCCACCTGCCTCATTTCTTAAGGACCCAATCTGGGGCCTGGAGAGCTCTGACTCTCTTGTTGACTCCTGAAGGGAATTGGGGTCACCCCTGTCTCCCAGCCCTGCAGTCTTCTCAGGACTACAGCATCCTTCCCAGAGGGAGGAAGTGAAGCCCAGGTCCTCAGGTTCTGGCTCCATTTGTTCTTGCCTTCAGTCTGGTCCCCTCACCACCCTTCAGGCATCCTGACAGGACTCAGGCTTCGACTGGGGCCTCTTCCTCTGTGACAGATGGCAGGATGGGGGCAGGCAGGGATAAGAGGATGGGGCAGGAGAGATCACGTCCGGGGCTTCCTGGTCTCTTGGGGTCAGAGGCTCCAGGAATCTTTAAGGCAGGAAAAGGAGACTAAAAATAATCCGGAAAGGGAGAGTCCGGAGAGAGGAACTGGGAAATGGGGGGAGGAGGGCCCGCTGGAGCCGGGAAATAGTGAGGCATGCCTCTCAGCCCAGGCACACACGCTACGAGGATCCCTACACAGACAGCACGTAGCACATAAACCCTTGTGCCCCTCTCCCACCACGCACCATACACCGTACACTCCACTCTCCCACTGCATACCCACCCAGTAAGTACATACCAAACACACTCTCGAGACACATCACACAACACCCCTTTCATATAGCACTAGAAACAGCACTCACACACGCTACCCCCACTCACAAACCTTCACAACACACATACATATAGACATACAACACAATTCGTCAAGCAGATGTGTTGTGACTTTATGGGCAAACTAAATCCCTTTACTGACCCAGTTCTCTTGTACCCTCTCCCCCGACTTGGGTCTCTACTGAGGCACCCCCACCCTAGCCTCACTGTCTTCCTCCAGCCTCACTGGCAGCAGAAGCCAAAAGACAGAGAGAAAGGGAGGCTGGGAGGGCCCAGAGAGGCTGCCTGGGAGGGTTGAGGGGCCTCAGGAATGAGGAGGGGTTGGGAGGTGGAGAGAAGACTGGAAATGAGAAGGAAGGAGGGGGAGGGCGCCAACCTTGCCTCCTGACTCCACAATCACCGCCGCTTTGCTGGCAAACGATTTCTGCTCAGAGGCTTCAGTCTATCCATGGCAGGCCAGGGGCGACACTAAGGTCTCTTTCTCCCTCTTCCTCAGGGGATGACTCCAGCAGAGCACCCCACTCCTTTGAAGAGCTCAAAGGAAGATGTCAGACCAGTCTCTTCCTATAGCAACACCCCCTACCCAGAAGCCCCCTCGGATCATCCGCCCCCGTCCCCCCTCTCGACCTCGGGCTGCCCAGTCCCCAGGGCCCCCCCACAATGGCTCCTCTCCTCAAGAACCTTCTGTCACCTCCAATGATGCCCCATCCCCAATGTGCACCCCTATCTTTTGGGAACCCCCAGCATCTTCCCTCAAGCCCCCTGCCCTTCTGCCCCCTTCGGCTTCTAAAGCCAGCCTCGACTCCCAGAATTCCCCAGACTCACCTTCCAGTAGCCCCAGTCCAGTGTCCCGGCGCTCCATCTCCCCAGAACCTGCTCCCAGGTCTCCAGTGCCCCCACCCAAGCCCTCTGGGTCACCCCGCATACTTCTGCCTCTACCCCAAGCAGCCCCCCATGTCCCAGCCCAGGATGGCTCTGCCTCTGCCCCAGGCACTGTGCGAAGACTGGCTGGCAAATTTGAATGGGGGGCTGAAGGCAGGGTCCAGGCTGCAGATGCCCTGGAGCCAGCCCCCCAAGGGGGAGTGGATGTGAATGGGGAGAGAGAGACTTCCCAAGGCAGCCTCACGAAAAGGGGATCTCAGGAGAATGGTGTTGCGGGTAAGCACTTCATGGGGCTAGGGTGGGCTCAATCAAGCTCTCCTGTTTATGTTTTCAATGCTTTAAGGCTGGGTACTTTCAGGGGCTACCTTTTCAAAAATGGATTTTATGTTTGGAAGATCTGATTTCCACAATTCTGGGAGTTTGAAAAGAGTCAGTGTTGAAGAGTAGATGCCTGGGGCTGGACCATGTTCCATCTGCTGGGCAGGGTGGGGCCCAGCCCCAAGGGTCTTTTCCTTAGGACACCATGTCTCCCACAGATGCTGCCCAGGCCTGCCCTCCCTCCTGCCCCTGTGTCTGTCATGTAACCCGGCCTGGCCTGGAGCTCCGATGGGTCCCTGCGGGGGGCTATGAGGATGGTCCCAGGGCCCTCTGCAGAGCCTCCCCTCTGCGAACCTCCCGCTCCCGCCCCAACCCTCCCAGCATCAGTCACCCCTCAGTGGTCCTCACGTCCTACCGCTCCACTGCTGAGCGCAAACTCCTGCCACCTCTCAAACCCCCCAAACCAACTCGGGCCAGGCAGGATGCCACTGTCTCTGGGGACACCCCACAGCCAGATCTCGATCTGCCCTCTGGAGACGGACTCCAAACAGGTACAGGGCCTGGGGGCGCGGATTCTTTGGCTGAGAAGGGAAGGGGTGGAGGTAAAGTGATCTAAAAATTAACCAACTACAACCCCCAGTAGGTCCAGAGCTGTTTTTGTTCCTCCACAAGCTGCTGCTCTAGGGCTTATGGGAGTTGTAGTTTTTATGGTAACAGTCTCTGCTGGGGCAGGAATCAGGAGTCCTAGGCTGGGGATCTCGGAGATTTATTCTCTTCCCTCTGGGTTTTCCCTCTAGAGAACAGTCCGGATGAAGCTCCTCAGAATGCTGCTCCCGCAACCATGGAGGGCAGGTGCCAAACACCCCTACGCTTACTCCTACCTGAGGGCAGACTCAGTCAGGTCCTGCTGAGTCCCACCTCCACAGAGGTGGAATGAAGAAGGCCTGGGGCTCTAGAGACAAGCAGCCCTGGTTTCCAATCCCAGCTCTGTCCCTTATCAGCTTTGTGACCTTATGTTAAGTCACTTAACCTTTCTGGGTCTCGGGGTCCTCTGTGAAATGGGGGTAAGCATACCAATGACTTTGTTGTTGGGTATAACACTGGTAAAGAGTCGGCCCCCTAGCAAGTGCTTCATTTTAGTTCCCCCACCTGAAGCCTCTACTGCAATTATTGTCTGCAAGTCTATTTGGCAACCACGAACATCTTGAACATCTCGTCTATGTCATCTGGGCTTGTCAATGATCTTAGATTACCACCATTATCAGAGTAAATCTGAGCCCATTCATTCATTCAATAAGCATTTACTGGTGTTTATTCTCCTGGGTGTTTAGCTTGGGCGAATAGGTATGAGGTGGTGCTGATAACCAGAACAAGACAGGCAGAGCTGCGGGTGAAGGGGAGGTATAAGCATTTGGGTTTGATCTTGTTGATCTCACTGAGGCACAGAGAGGACATTTCAGAGGGTGACTGCTATGTGAGAGGGATGGAGATAAAGACGTGGAAGTCTCTGGTACGCAGTCCTTGAGATAACAGTAGATGGAGCCTGCTTAGTTCAGGGCCTCCCATACAATGGGCACATAAAAACTATCTGGGGTTTGGTCTGGGGAGCACACAACCTTTCACTATCCTGTGGAGAGCACCCCTGGAGGTGTGCAACAGGGGTGCCTCTGGGGGACTCCATCCCTTTTTCTCTCCACAGGCATGAGGAGGGCCTGGAGGAGCTGAAGGAGCAGAACTGGGAGCTGCCCCTGCAGGATGGTGAGGGCCTGGGGGGTCCCTGTTGACCATCAGGTGGGGCGTGGTTCTGGGCCACTGGACTTCCCTGCTGTGCTACATCTGCTCTCTAGAACCCCTGTACCAGACCTACCGAGCAGCCGTGCTATCAGAGGAGCTGTGGGGCGTCAGTGAGGACGGGTGTCCCTCTCCGACAAGTCCTGGAGAAGCTCCCACCTTCGCCCGGCTCCCTGGCCCTCGGAACACTCTGTGGCAGGAGCTTCCAGCCGTGCGAGCCAGTGGCCTCCTGGACACCCTCAGCCCCCAGGAGAGGCGCATGCAGGAGGTGGCATACCTGGGGTCTGGCCAAGGGCAGGAGTTGACCTGGGCCCTGGGCTGGCTGGGAAATGGGCTTTCCACATCCACCCTGCCCTTTCTCCTCAGAGCCTGTTTGAGGTGGTGACATCCGAGGCCTCCTACCTGCGCTCCCTGCAGCTATTGACGGACACCTTTGTGCTGAGCCAGGCTCTCCGGGACACGCTCACCCCCCGGGATCACCACACCCTCTTCTCCAATGTGCAGAGAGTCCAGGAAGTCAGCAAGCGGTCAGTGGGGTTCGACCCTCTGAGCAAACCAGGCCTCAGGCTCCTGAGCACCCCTTAACTTTCTCCCTGTTCCAGGGCCTCCCTTCCACAGGCCCAGTTAGTGCCCAGCTCTTCCCTCAAGAACCCAGGACACACGGCTCTCTGCCCCCCTTCACTGGTTGTTCCCCCACCCCTTCAGGTTTCTAGGAGCATTACTGTCCCGAGTACGCGCTTCTCCCCACATCAACGACCTTTGTGACGTGGTGCATGCCCACGCCGTGGGTCCTTTCTCGGTGTATGTGGATTATGTGCGCAACCAGCAGTATCAGGAGGAGACCTACAGCCGTCTTATGTGAGTGTCTCAGAGGCGGGGGCCAGGTCAAAAGCGTGGGAAAAGCTGGGGAGCAAGGGTCTAGACCAGGGCAGGCTGGGCGATCAGCCTCAAGGCCAACGCAAGCCACCTGGGCCTGCTTCTGCAGGGACACAAATGTGCGCTTCTCCGCGGAGCTTCGCCGGCTGCAGAGCCTCCCCAAGTGTGAGCGGCTCCCCCTGCCCTCCTTCCTGCTGCTGCCCTTTCAGCGCATCACACGGCTCCGCATGCTGCTGCAGGTACCCTCTTGGCCTGGGGCCCTTTCTGCCCACCAACCATGTTGGAGAACTCTCCCAGGGGGCTCCTGCCTGGCCATCACCATCTCCCACCCCACCATGAACACAGGTTCCTTAAGTCAGACCTCCTCACCTGGGCCTCTAAGTCCCTGGCCAACCAAACCTTGCCTGGAGCTAACCAAATGTCTCAAGGAGCAATTTGGGTGTAGGAACTGAACCCCTGGCTAAAGACAGGAGTTCCAGACTTGGCTCCGCCGCCACAACCTCGCTGACTAGCTTGGGCTAAGCCCTTTCTCTCTTTGGGTCTCAGGGGAAATGTGGTGCCTGGTCTTTCAGGTCTCCTTAGCTGTATCTTTTACTGCATGCCTCCCCAGTGGGGGTGGCATCACCCCTAAGAAGGCAAAAGCTCATTCTTTGGGAGGAAAAAATATCTTAAATATTCCAGTGGTTGTGGTACTTCAAAGAGCCATGGTACATAAAAGATATACAGCATATCTGTGGCATTAATTTTTTTTAAAGGCTCCTTGCAGAGTGATATTGAATAGTAATAAATCAAATAAAAAAGGCTGAGAAACACTTTTCTATGGCAGAACAGAATCTTCTCCCTAAACCAGGTCACCCAATATGGGGATCTCAATGAGAAGAGTTCTCGTTCTCGAGTAGATGAGCAGCATTTTTATGTCTTATTCAGTTTCATATGCCCCAGTATATGCAAAACCATTATAATCATAACCATAATAGTTAAACCACTGTCGAGTGCTCAGTCCTCGGCATGGTTCTGCCCATGTAACCTTTCCAATGTCTATATGAGGGTAGGAACTGTTACTACCCCACTTTATAGATGAGGAAACTGAGGCACAGAGGTTAAATAACTTGTCCCAGGTTATCCAGATAATAATTGGTAGAGACAGATTTTAATTCCAGGCACTCTTAACCACTGCTATACTGTTTTTACTAATAGTTGTGGTTAATAATTATTAAATAATAGCAACTTTCTTTTCAGCATTTACTATGTGCCAAGGATTATGTTAAGTACTTCACATATGTTACCTTGCTGAATCCTCACAATGGTGCTATTGGCAGGCTAGGTGGGTACCTTCCCCATTTTACAGATGCGGAAACCGAGGCTCAGAGAGGTAATGAGACTTGCTCAGGGTTAGGCAGACGATGAGTGGTGAGGTCTCTCAGCCTTATTGAGACTGGTTCCTCAGCCCTGTGAACCCCAAATTGAGCATTTTGCCAAGCCAGGCAAGAGTCCTCTGAGGTGCAGCCCCTCTGAATCCCAGGGCTGCAGAGCAGGGGCCCAGTCACCCTTCCTCCTTGTCCTCAGAATATCCTGCACCAGACAGAGGAGGGGTCCAGCCGCCAGGAGAATGCCCAGAGGGCCCTGGGTGCTATCAGTAAGGTGGGCAGTGGGGAATACTGAGGCATGGGGAGGTGCAGAGGGAGGAAGGGGAGAGGGAGGGGAGCAGGGATGGGTGACTCAGCTCCCCTTACCCAGATCATTGAGCGCTGCAGTGCTGAGGTGGGGCGCATGAAGCAGACTGAGGAGCTGATCCGGCTCACCCAGAGGCTGCGCTTCCACAAAGTCAAGGTTAGTCTCTGCCCCGACTCCCCACCTTCCCATTCCCCGTGGTGTTGCTATGAAGAAGCCAGAACCTCCTCCCTGCTTCCTCCCAGGCCCTGCCCCTGGTCTCCTGGTCAAGGCGCCTGGAGTTGCAGGGGGAGCTGACGGAGTTAGGGTGCCGGAGGGGGGGCGTGCTCTTCACCTCACGCCCCCGCTTCACTCCCCTCTGCCTGCTGCTCTTTAGTGACCTGCTGCTCATCACTCAGCCCAAGAGGTGGGTCTCAGGGAGGGTGGGAGCCCAGGCAGGGGTAGGAGGAGGAATCCAGCTGGACTTCTGCTCTCCCAATGAACTTCCTCTTCCCTGGGCAGTGGGCAGCGGCTACAGGTGCTGGACTATGCCCATCGCTCCCTGGTCCAGGCCCAGCAGGTTCCAGACCCATCTGGACCTCCTACTTTCCGCCTCTCCCTTCTCAGCAACCACCAGGGTCGCCCCACCCACCGGCTTCTCCAAGCTTCATCCCTGTAAGTTGTGTCTCCTAAAGGGGACCTTCACCTGACCTCCCAGAGCCTACCACGCTCCTCCCCAGTCTCTCCTCTCTGTGGTCCCTGCCTAACCCCCTGTAAGATCTCCTTGGCCAATTCTGACCCTCCCTGTGTCCCACCAGATCAGACATGCAGCGCTGGCTGGGAGCCTTCCCCACCCCAGGGCCCCTTCCCTGCTCCCCAGACACCATCTATGAGGACTGTGGTGAGTAACCCCTAGAAGGAGGAGGGAAGGAAAAGTGAGTCTTAAGGGGAGTAGAGGGAGAAGCTAAATCGAGTCTTGATCCTGCTGTAATGTCACCCAACCCCAACCAGACTGTTCCCAGGATCTGTGTTCAGAGACTTCTGCACCAGCCAAGACTGAGGGACAGAGTCTCGAGTCCAGGGCTCCCCCAAAGCATCTGCACAAGAGCCCCGAAGGTGAGAGATTCTTTTATTTCTTCATTCAATAAATATTTATCAAGTGCCTATGAGGTGCTTTCTCTGTTCTAGGAACTGTGACCCAAACACACAGATATTCTTGTGTGTACATTCTAGTAGAGGAGAAACAAAGAATAAACAAGATAAATAAGAAAATGATATACAGCATGTCTGAAGGTGATTGAGTGCTATGGAAAAACAAAAGTGCAGCAGTCGAGGAGGTCAGGATTCCTGGGGTTGGGTGGGTTACAAGATTAAGTAGGGAGGTTGAGGTGGACCTCCATGAAGAGGCAGAATGTTAGCAATGACTTGATGGAGGTGAGGAATTTAGGCACGTGGCATCTAGAGGAAGAATATTCCAGTCAGAGACAAGAGTCAGTGCAAAGGCACCGTGGTTGGTGTGTTTGAGGAAACAGTAAGGGGGCAAGTAAGGCTAGAGGGAGTGAGGAGAAGGGAGAAAAACAGATGAGGTCATAGAGATAAGAGGGAACAGATCATGTGGCTCCTCATAGATCCCTGTAAGGATTCTGGCTCCCACTCTGAGATGAGCAGCGATGAGCAGCCACTGAGGGGCTTGGCAGAGAAGTGTCCCTCTTTTTTTTTTTTTTTTTTTTGCATTTATCTTCAGATAGAGCAAGAGGGAGAGAGGGGGGAAGAGAGAGAGAGAGAGAGAGAGAGAGAGAGAGAGAGAGAGAGAGAGAGAGAGAGATATCAATGTGAGAGAGACACATCAACTGGTCGCCACTCACACCACCCCAACCGGGGCCAGGGACCAAACTGCAACCGAGGTTCATGCCCTTAGCAGGAACCAAACCTGGGACTCTCTGGTCCATAGGCTGATGCTCTAACCAACTGGCAAAACTGCCCAGGGCGACCTTGACCCTCTTTGATGCTACTGTCACCTTCACCTCCAATGGCCTTTCTACCAATGCTCCAGGTTCTCTACTAATTCCTACACTCACCATGGCTCTCAGGCATTAGAGCCCATGGTGCTTCCTTTCCCTCCTGACCCGTCCCTTTCCCTGGCTCCTCTTGGGCCCATCTCTCTTTCTCCAGGCTGGCTGAAGGGGCTTCCTGGGGCCTTCCCTGCCCAGCTGGTGTGTGAAGTCACTGGGGAACACGAAAGGAGGAGGCACCTTCGCCAGCACCAGAAGCTTCTTGAGACTGTTGGACCCTCTTCAGGAACCCCCAGTGCCCCCCAACCCTAATGCATGCTGGGAAGGAGGCAAAGGCTGGGATAGCTGGCAGCGTGGCACAGAGAGGACAAAACTCATCCATCTATTGGATTCGCTGTCAGTGGAAACACTACCTCTAGTGGCAACCAATAGGGACCAAGCTTCAGGACAAGGCAGCCAATGAAAACAGGGTTGCCTGAGCCCAGGCAATAAGGGAGAATGAGGATGGTTTGAGTGTGTTGCCAATAGAGACAGAAGCTTAGTGCTGAGCCACTAATGGGTGCTGAGCTGGCTGATCTGGACCCAAGAGATCAGTAGTGACCCTGCTTGGTTCTACACCCACAACCAGTCCTGCCCTTTGGGTCTAGAAAGTATTAAATTTCATTCTCAGGGCACCTCCTATGTCCTTTCAAGCCACTTTTTCTCTTCTAGAAGAATCCAGAGTGTTTCTCAATATGTGTGTGTGTGTGTGTGTGTGTGTGTGTCTGCTGAGTGTGGGAGTGTGGTATGTGTGTGATTTTGTCCCTTCCAGATGATTGACTGCCCATTTCTTCCCTCAGCACCCATTTCAACTGTTATTCTCTCTGAGAAGGACACTAGGTCCGAGTGTCAGAGGAGAATGAGCTGGGCATGGCTTGGCAGCCAGAGGCCAGAGCTGGGGATGAGAGCCCTGGTACCTAGGCCTCTTGGAGGCCAGAGTTCCACAGCCATTGGAGGGTGATGTTATGGAGCAGACAAGCAACCTGGCAGAAGAGCCCAAAGGACTGAAGATGGCCAGTAGCTGGGGCCCGAGGCCTCCTGAAGCCCACAAGCCCTTCTCCTTGCATCAAAGCTTGGTGCCCATAATCTTTGCTGGAAAATCCCCCAGCTGAACTATAATCAGCTTCCAGCCTCAGCCTTGGGCTTCAGACCAACTCTGGACCTTAGGTTTGGGTGAAGAAACGGAAGCTGTGGATCATGGGCCAGCTGGTGAGCCTCCTGGGCTTTCTTGCCTTCCTCCTGGTCCTCTCACAGAAACACGGGGCCAAGCATCGGACAGAAAATGGAGAGCAGTGTTGCTGCCCCACCCCATCCAGAGCATCTGCTTCCGGATGAGAAACTGCCCCCACTTGATACCAGAAGGAGGTGAGGGACGGAGAGAGAGTGGAGCAGGCAGTTGCTGGCGAGTGGGCCCAGGTCTGGCACAAGGCCTTCCCTGAGCTAGGCTATCCCACCTTCCCTTCAACTCACGCGTAGCAACTTGCTCAGGACGGAAACTGCCACGCTGACCACAGGAGGTGCAGGAACTCTGGGAGACTCAGAGGGAGAAAGGCACTGGCATTTGGCATGTCTATGACTTTGGAGATTCACGCAGCATAGTGCCTGGCATTTGAGAAACCCTCAATAAATATTGGTGGAGCTGTATTAAGGCTCTTCAGGGGACTGTGTGCTTAAAGGAACAGTGGCTTCCAGAGATGGCTTTATAAGGTGGGTGGGGCTGGTTGAAAAGGAATTCTTGGACAGCAGAGGTCAGTTCTGGGAACTGGGCTTGGAGACCAGGCACAAGGCCCCAGCGTGTGGGCCCACTCATAGCTGCCCAGGGATCTAAAGATGTGATGGTGGTGGATTTGTAGATGCTGGGGTGGAGGGCTCCTGCACGTTAGGGAAGAAGACAGGCAGGGCCCGGTATGGTGGGGCTCTAGCCGTGGATGAAGATGTAGGGAGCAGGACAAAAAGGGCAGTCAGCAATAAAGGTCTTTCCTGACCAGTCAAGCATCTCTGTGTTTAATTCGATCAATTCTACACCTATTTGTTGAGTGCCTTCTATGTGACAAGCACTGTTCTAGGATCTGGGGATACAGAGATGAAAAAAATAAGGAACTTGTCCTCAAGGAGCCTACATTCTGGGGGCAGGAGGCAGATGGAGAGAACAATTACCAATTGTAAACAATTTAATAAGTACGATAAAATCAGGTAGCAATGAGAGCTATCTTCATACAGCAAAGGCTATGTGATACAGAATACTGTGTGTGTGTGTGGGGGGGAGGGGGCTCTGGGGAAAATCCTGGAGGTAACATTAGACCCAGTGACAAGAAGGAAGCAGTCCTGGGAAGATCTGGGCAAAGAGCATTCCAGGGATGGCAACAAGGGGAATGAAGTTCAGAAAAAGAAGGTAGTGGTGGTGGAGAGGTATATGTGCTCTTTCAAGTTTCCTGGTTGGGGGAGGCCTTCTCCACCAAACTCCCCCTCTCTCTGAGATACCCAGAGAAACAGACAGACATCCAGAGGTCCACATAAAACTACATATGGGTCCAGTATAAGTTCCTTCCCAGCTCCTCAACCCCTCCCTGAGTCCTGCCACTAAGGAAGCCCCCATGCTCCACATCAAATGTTCTAATAATGAGATAATGGGAAGACAAAGACCAGATGAGAGTTGTTTTGGGGATGTAAAGGCACATAAAATACAACCACATGTTCCAGAAGAGACTGAAAAGACAGGAAGAAAAGGGGACTGTCATGGTTGTTATCTTAGAGACCCCCTTTCCATTTTTGGGTGACCTATGTGAGTGTGTGCAGTCTGGGAGGGGTGTGCGTTCTGCAGACCTGTCAGAGAGGACTGAGGGGCATGAAGCACAGCTATGTGGAAAAGGGGTGGATGTGGGGCAGTGAGGCCGCCATGAGTGTGGAGAAAGTGGATGGGAGAAGGGATGGTGCTAAGGTAAGGAAGAGTGTGTGTGTGTGTGTGCGCGCGCGCGCGCGCGTGAATGATGGGGGTGGTACAGATGGCTGTAGGTAACTTGGTGAATCATGGATCCCCCAACACACATACTCCTGCACACCTCCACCAGGTGTCTACCTCTCTGTCATAGCCCTGTACTACCTCCTGCTGGTGTCCATCCTCCTCTCCATCCTGTGTTGCTCCTCACTCTTCTTGCCCCTCTGAGTCACCTTCTTCAACTTCCTCGTAGGTGTGGGAGGAGGGTTCATGGGAGGAGAAGTCTCTCAGTGCTGCCCTGTCTGGAATCCCAGGCATGGTGGTGGGAGTGGTAGGGGTCAGTACAAATGTCCCAGGTGGTAGAGAGGTTCACTGACCCATTTGGGGAGTCCTGGAGCTGCCATTACTCCATTCCTTCGCACTCGAGCATGCTGGGGAGGTGGAAGAAACTCATATTTTCACAGGCTTCAGAAAGGCACAGGTGTGTCTCAGGCCTGGGGGAGGTGCCTGAAAGGACAGGGTGGGGAAGCGGGGCCCCACTGGGAATGTTTCTCTCTCTGTAAGTCATTATGTGCTCTCTCCACATCAGTCTTGCTCGTATTTGTCGCCTCCATGTATAGCAAGTCGGTGGTAATGCAGATAGGACAGGGCACTGACCTCTCCTTGCACTGGCCCTTCTATGGCCTCTGGGTCAACATCATTGTGGCCATTATTACCAGTGAGCTGAGGGGGGTTGCAATCATGACCGCAAGCAACAGGTGGATGAGAGGTCTCCTCCCTTTCCCTACAGCCTGCTCACTAGCCCTCTGCCATCTCCTAGCTGCACAGACCTCCAGTCGAATTCCTGAGATTCTTTTCAGTGCCCTTCAGCCTGGTTCTGTCCATTCCTGAAAGCTTCTCTCTCTTTCCTTCCTCCTCCCTTGCAGGGCTCGTGGCTCTCTTCAGTTATCGGGGTATCTACTGGTTCCTGCTTTCGGGGTTGGCCAGTTACCCAGGCAGGCAAACCATCGGGTTCAGGGGTACGTCTCCCGACAGTTTCTCCACCAGCCTTACGAATCCCCGAAGGCCGCCCGACCTTGCTCCCCAGCACGCCCTCTCCAAACTATCGACTCTCCACCCTCCAGTGGCCAGAGAGAGCCTTGGGCCAGAGCAACCGGAGCACAGCGAGCAAAGGGAAACAACCGCCGGAGGTTTCCTTTCTGATCTAACCTGGGTGCCCTTTGTGGCCCCGCCCCCTGGACTGACCCCGCCTCCAGACCGGGTTCCGCCCTTCCCCGCCCCGCTGCGCTCTGGCGCAGTTGGCGGTGGACCCAGACCTACTGGGCTACTTGGGTTTCCAGCTCCAGGCCTTGGCACGTCTTCTGGCCGAGCTCGGTCTACTGGTTCTCGGCGCCCGCCTCCCACACGAGGCAGGGCTTGGGGGTGGCCGTCCCCACTGAGATATCCTTAAGATGTTGAGGCGCAGGCTCCGCGTCTGCGGACAATTGCGCGCCGACGCGCACTCAGTGCGGGCGGGGGCTGGGCGCCCTCCTGGCGCTGCTCCTCCTACCCCACTCATCCGCGGATCTCTCGAAGTCGCCCGGAATTTCCTGAGGTCCAGGGCAGGGGTTTAGCTGGTTGATCCCACTTCCAGAGCACCCGAGGTGGGCCAGACGTTTTCAATCGTTCTCTGCAAGAACGTCTGTCTTTGGGAACTTAACCCTGCCTTAGTGCTTAAACCCAAACTGCTCCACATCCGACCAGGAATCCCATCTTACTCCTCCAGTTTTATACCTTGTCCTTTCCACTATTCTGCTTACCCACCTGCCTGTCTCCAGGCCCCTGGAATCACCCTCTCCTTCACTTCTGAAATCTTTCCCCTCTATCTACTATTGGAAATCTGAAGCTGCCTTGTGTGGGAAGGGGCTGAGGTTAAATTAAGATTTTATGGGGACCTTCTAAAGAAAAAATACAGCCGCGCTGGTGTGGCTCAGTGGACTGAGCGTGTTCCCATGGACTGAGAGGTTCTGGTTTAATTCCCTGACAGGGCGCATGCCCTAGTTGTGGGCGCGATCCGGAATATGGGGTGTGCAGCCAATCGATGTTTCTCTCTCAAATAGATATTTCTATCTCTCTCGCTGCCTTAAAAGTCAATAAAAATATATTTAAAAGAATAAGAATGCACCCTAGCTGGTGTTCTAAGTGGTTAGAGCATCTTTCCTTGGACCAAGGGTCTTGGGTTAAATTCCAGGGCAGGTTGCAGGTTTGGTCCCTGAGGGTTGGGCACGTGCTGGAGGCAACCAATCCATGTGTCATCTCTCACATGATGTTTCTCTCTCCCCACATTTCTCTCCCACCCTTCCTCCCTCCCTTCCACTCTCTCTAAAAAGCAATGGAAAAAATATCCTTGGGTAAGGATTTAAAAAAAGTATAAAAGTGAGTTTTTATTTAGAATGATAAAAATAATAAATCACTTATTTTTAAAAGCTGACAAAATGAACAACGTAAAAACCCAGAAAAAATAACTTTATTTGATTTTTTTTTTTTTTTTTTTTGCCATTCTAATAGGCGTGGGGTGGTATTTCATTGCTGTTTTAATTTGTGTTTCACTAATGACTAATGGTGCTTAGTATCTTTTCATGTGCTTATTGGCCACTTGAATATCTGTTTTGGTAAAGTGTCTGTTCAAATCTTTTGGCCTTTTAAAAAGTGAGTGTTTGCACCCTGGCCAGTTT